ACCCGCACCCGCCCCCCTCCCCGCCCCCCAGCCAGCTCGAAAGGCTCAGTCCTACAAAAGATGCCTCGTTAGCCGACAGCTCTAATGACAGCTCAAGGCAGGGTGGGTTGGGAGGACGAGGGATGCAGGGACGGCACGGTGACCCCGGGTGAGCAGGCGATGCGGAAAAATGCCCCGACAAGGTTATGGGGACGGCAAAAGGGATGTAGCAGCCGGTGCAGGGGGGGCTCAGGGTGCCTTTGGGGAAGCGCAGCCTCCCGAGAGAAAGTGGGTGGTGGGAAGGAGGAGAGTGGGTCAGGGATGGGGTGGGGTGGGCGTGTGGTGGTGGAGCGGCACCCGAGGCAGCTTCGGGGTGGCCAAGCCCCCGGCTTTGCCATCCCCACGGTCGGGTGCAGCGAGCGAGGATGAGATCTCCACTGCTTCAATATTTGACTTTAAAAGAAAAAAAAAACCACCACCACAACCCTACAACAACCCACAGCCCCCGGACAGATGGTAGCTCTGCTGGGGATTTTGCTGAAATTTATTTTCTCTTGATTTGGCAATATGTGATTTCCAGCTCTGATAATCATCTCGGTGCTTGTGAAGTGTCTGCCTTTGGAGGATCCCAAAATAGGCAGCGATGTGAACGGCTTGGAAGAGGGAGATGAGAGAGGAGAGCTTGGGGTGGTTGTCTGGTTGGGGAAACTGAGGACAGAAGATTCCCTCTGCCCTCTCCTTCCTTCTGCTCTTCCTCCAGTGGTCATCCCAATTTTCTCCGGGAGGTGACGGCTCCGTAGCAGCATGGGCACAGTTTCTGATCGGGGTTTTTCTTGCTTTCAGGTGACCTTCACCAAGCGCAAGTTCGGTTTGATGAAGAAAGCCTACGAGCTGAGCGTCCTGTGCGACTGCGAGATCGCCCTGATCATCTTCAACCACTCCAACAAGCTGTTCCAGTATGCCAGCACCGACATGGACAAGGTGCTGCTCAAGTACACCGAGTACAACGAGCCCCACGAGAGCCGGACCAACGCGGACATCATCGAGGTGAGGCCGCCCATCTTCTCCCTGGCTTTGCCGTTGCGGTGGAGCCAGGACCGGGTCTGGCACCGCAGCCGGGTGCGGGAGGTCGGTGGAGGGTGAGGATGGGAGCGAGCAGCTCTCCGACACTCGCTGCTGACCTGATTTTGCATCTTTTTTTGGTCCAGCTTACAAAAATACTCAGCTCTGGGCTGTCTCGAGTTATGTGTTGATCTACTGCTGTAAAATTAAGGTGCAGGTTTGCTTTGTGGGACTCGTCCGTGGTCCAGGCAAACCACCGGATGGTTTTGGAGGCATCTCCTGGGGTTCCTGCGCTGGGGTGCCTCGAGGCGGCTGGTGCCGTTGCCTCTCTCCGTTGTTTCAGCCACCCACGGTGGGGTTGTAGGAGGGTACCAGCGCCTGAATCAGTAATTCAGGTTGGGAGGGACCTTTGGGTGCAAGGCATGGCCAACCTCCTGGGTGGGTGGGGATGCTCAAGGCTTGCCTGGCTGCCTTCTGTGGGTCTCCAAGGATGGCAAGTCCAGTCTGACCATCCCCAGCGATGCCGAGGGCACCATGTCCAAACCTCGCTGACGCCGAGGCCGCACTCCTCCTCCAGCCTGCCAGCATCGCAGGAGATGCTCGGCCACCGTTTGCTGTCGGTGACCATCCGCAGGCCCTCCCCACTGCTTTGTCCTCATCTCTGGTGCTGGCAGAGCATCGCCGGGCTCAAGCATTTGGGGGCATTTGGCTCGCAGGAGGGTGCCAGCGGCATCTTGGCCATCGGTCGCATCCTCTTCCCCCGGCGGCACCCACAAAGATGGGAGCCGCTCGGTTGTCGCTTTTCAGCACGTAGGCGACCGCCTTTACGCCTGGGCAAACGCAGGCAAAGGAAAGGCTTGGCTGGCTAATTATTGACATTAGAGGTGGGCATAAATTAACGCCCGCCGAGGCGTTTGTGAGTGAGCGGGGGGGCACGGCAC